CCCCTCAGCCTCCCAAAGGCGCGGGATTATAGGCTGAGCCACCAAGCCCGGCTGAGAGTTCTTACTTTTAAGGTCACTGTACCGGAGGCTATAGCACTGTGATAGCAATGGCAATGAAAATGGAGTTGTCATGCTGTAATTTCATAATGGCGCATGACTCGTATCCATGCCATGCTCCCGGCATATGACCTTTGGAAAGGCTGGTGGCATAAAGACAAGACTGAGGTTGGTCCGTGTGTAGTGTCTGCCTGTCTTTCTTTCCACTTACCAGAGATCTCTCCTCTCCCAAACAGATTCTCCCAGGAGTTCGGATCATAATTGCCAACCCAGAAACAAAAGGACCCTTGGGAGACTCGCACCTTGGAGAGGTGAGTCCTGGTGTGTCTTTTGAGACCCAGTTTCCATGTCTGTTCCGAGCTTCTCTCTTGCTCCCCTTGACACCAGTCAAATCTGTTTTCACGCCATAGGTCTGCAGGACACACCTTAAGTTGAGTAAGTCATGACTGGGAAGTAACATGAGATAATAAGCTTTAGGGCTTAAACGATCCCGTGAAAGTTCAGAATTACAGAATGGGATTTCCTCAAGGAAGTATGACAGATCTTCTTTAAAGAACCCAGAAGAGGTTTAAGGGCCAATTTCCTTCTGGCTTAGCTCTTGAGTGTGTCCTCCACGTTCCTGCCTTTGTTACCGGGGAGTCCTTCATCAGGAAACGACAGAGAAACCCACAAAGGAAGGGATGCCACCTTAGAATGACAGCAGCATCAATAAACACTAGCAGTGAGATTGGAGAAGCAACAGTTACTTGTTACTTCAGACCGGAAAGCAAGCAGTGGAGCCCTCATGCTTTCACTTCACTGTGTTTAAGACGGAGCCCACCCTGGTGGTGCTGCTGGCTATGAATGGCATGGCTGGAGACCTGGAGACGAGTGCCCCCGCACGGCCAGCCTCGGTCTGAGCTCTTGGCCATCAACCTCACGCAGGCCCTGGCGCCTGCGGCTCCCCACGCCGAGACCAGGTGTGTCACACCCCGCCCTTCTCCCGGTCTCTCCACTGGCCACCCGCTGCTTCCACCACAGAAGCGGAAAACATCCGAAGAGAGCACATTCCGCGTGCCCGTGCCTTCTGGTGTCAGCATGCTGGCCCTCCCTCCCGTGGCCCCATCTGCGGCCAGTGTGGGCGCTGGACAGAGCCTCTTGGCAGGCCGAGGACGCCCGCAGCAGCTGCCACCAGCCCTGTCTCTTCAGTTGTCCTCCGCCCCGAACGGCTCCTGACAGCATGTGGGACTCACCTCTTCACCACTCCTTGGCCCCGCTGCACCTCCAGGACTCGGGCGGCAGCACGCCCAGAAGCGCGTTTCCACACGGCCTGTGGGGCCACACGTCACCGGCAAATGGCTCCACGCCAGTCCTCACGTCCCAGGTTCCTTTTCGTCCTGGGCTCCTTTGTGGCTCCCACTCGACTCTCTTGCCCACACGCAAGGAGCAGAACCCAGACGAAAGTCCACGCAGCTCTTGCTTATGGGTTTCCTTGAAGTGTGTTCCTAGAAGTAAAGCTGGGAGTGGAGGACCTGCTTTCTCAGGGCGCCTGGCGAGGGTCCCCACAGGGGTTGCTCCTGGCCGGTGGTCCCAGCAGCCGGCCTGAGAACAGCTGGGACCAGCCAGGCTGAGATCAGAGTTCTCTGCACTCTGAGCACAGCCAGCACAGGTGAAATCTGCCAGTGATTGTCTTACTGGGAACGCATCTTTTCCCCTAGCTTTACGGAAGTCTAACCGACAAGTAAGGTTACATCTATTGAGGTCTCTGTGCGATGCCTTGATGTAAATATTATACAATAATTATACTTGAGTTAGTTAATATGCCATCACCTCACATCGTTACCATTTTTGCATGTGATGAGAACATTTAATATCTACTCTCGGGCCAGGCATGATGGCTCGTGCCTGTAATTCCAGCACTTTGGGAGACCGAGGCAAGAGGATTGCTTGAGCCTAGGAGTTTGAGACCAGCCTGGGCAACATACCAATACTTCATTCTCTACAAAAAAAAATCAAAAAATTAGCCAGGCATGGTGGCGCGTGCCTCTAGTCCTAGCTACTCGGGAGACTGAAGCAGGAGGATCACCTGGGCCCGAGAGGTCAAGGCTGCAGTGAGCTGTGATTGCACCACTGCGCTTCCACCTAGGCGACAGAGGGAGACCCCAACGTAGAAAAAAGAAAAACATCTGCTCTCGTATCAAATGTCAGGTAAAGACCACAGTATTATTAACGACAGTACCACACTGTGCGGTGGATCCCAGAACGTGCAGCTGGAGGTTTGTCCCTTTGGCCGTCTCCCCCTCCCTCTGAAGCCCTGGAGACCACCGTTCTCGGCTTCTGTGAGCTCAGCTCTTCAGACCGCACGTGTGTGAGGTCACACAGCGTTTGTCTTTCTCCATCGGGCTTCTTTCTCAGCTTGACATCCGCCAGGCGCATCCACGGGGTGCAAACGGCAGAGGTTTCTCCGTGTTTAAGGCTGAATAACATCTGTCCCGTTGTCTTAATGAAGAAGACGTGTGTTGGGAGACAGAGGACGGTTGTCGCGGCCCCCGTCCCTTGGTGTCCCTTCTTTCTCCATGGCACTCTTCGTTTGCTCAGCAGGTACTGAGTGCCTGCTGTGTGCACGGCCCTGTTCTGAGGGCAAGAGACACAGTGGCAAACCAGGCAGAGGTCCTGAGTTCGGGGAACTTGACCACTTCTCAGTGTTGATGGCATCATGAAGAGTGCCAACCCCAGAGCACTGTGAACACCCTGACGCTCATGACCCCTCTTGTGCAGAGCGGGCTGCGGGCGGTGGTGTGGTGTCTGGGAGTTCCCTGGCTTGACTCTTCACCCAAGTCCATCTGCAGTCCTGTGCCATCGACTTGGCACCAGTTTGAGTCAGTGCACCCCTGCGCTGCTTGCCTGTTTCCCCAAACAGCAGATGTTCAGACGTCTTCCTTTCTCTTTTTGGCGCTGTATGTCCTTCCCTCTGAGGACTGGTTTTGTTTTGTGGTGTTTTGTTGCAATTATATTTCCAAAACGATGCTAACCATCGTTTTGGAAGAAAAATTCTTAAAACTTTTTGACATTTTTCTTGATCGCGCTTTAGAAACAATTGTTGTGTTTGGAAAAGTACAGCTTTGTTCACTTGATGTGTTTACTGTAAAAAGCTGTTTTTTGCCTGAGCCCGCGGGTTCGAGACCCGCCTGGGCAGCGAGACCTCATCTCTACAATAAATCAAAAAATCAGCTGGGCGTGGTAGCGCGCGCCTGTAGTTCCAGCTACTCGGAAGGCTGAGGCGGAGGGATCGCTGGAGCCCAGCAGGTGAGGCTGCGGTGGCTGGGAGCGGCCGCTGCACTCCAGTCTGGGTGACAGAGTGAGACTCCAACTCAAAAAAAAAAAAAAAAAAGCGTTTTTTAATTTTTCTATTAATCAGCTTGAATACAGTTCTTGATATATGGATGGCTTGGTTGGTTGCTTGACCATCAGTTGGGTTTAGTGCCTGTATTTCAGCGTCTGTGTGTGTCTCTCCAGAAACCTGACGAGATTGGCATCGCCTTAGTTTTTCAGTTCAAAGAAACTCTGAATGGCACTAAATATAATTTACAGGATTATACAGGTCGTTTTAGCCTCACATCCTTGAGGCGTCTAAAGCTAACTCGCCCACAGTGACCTTTCCCTCCACCCACAGATTTGGGTTCACAGTGCTCACAACGCCAGTGGGTACTTCACGATCTACGGAGACGAGTCCCTCCAGTCAGATCACTTCAGCTCAAGATTAAGTTTTGGAGACACCCAGACCGTCTGGGCACGCACGGGCTACTTGGGGTTCCTGCGGAGGACCGAGCTCACAGATGCAAATGGAGGTGAGCGCCCGGCTGGCCGGCCCCCTACACCCGGGGCAGGGAGGCGGGGCTGTCCCCTGACACGGGAAATGTGCCTGAGGCGTGGGATAGCCTACCGGAGGACGTGCGTGTGCCAGCTCAGACCCACATGGCACAGCCGAGTGCGAAAGAGAGAAAGGCAGGAGGCGAGTGTGCCCAGCAGGCTGCAACTGCGCCTCACGCACCCTGCACTCTCCTGAATGCCAGGGAGGGCCCAGGCTGCCCAGCACAGGCTCGGTGTCTCTGGCAGCAGATGCCCGAAGCCTCGGCCCACACACTCTCAGGGACAAGCCTGAGACCCGCCCACTCCACCGGCTCCACTGAGGCAGAATCCAGACCGTCGGCTATAGACACCTGCTTGCGGCTGTTTCTGGGCTTGTCTGCAGAAGTGTGCTTGCACATTCAGCTACTTCCTGATTCGGGACACTTTCTCACCTCCTTAGTTCCCCCAAAGGTGGAGGCAGGATCTGGCTGTTTCACAAGGATAGTGGCTGAGGTTCTCAATGAGATCCTGGCCAGATCCCCAGGGAGATGAGTTTTGGACAGGAGGGAGGCTTCCTAACACACCTGTCAAGCATACCTGCCCTAGCCCGGTCCAGCTCACATGCCTGTCTAGCATACCTACCCTAGTCTGGTCCAGCTCACGCACCTGTCTAACATGCCTGCCCTAGCCTGGCCCAGCTTACACACCTGGCGAACACCTACCCTAGCCTGGTCCAGCTGACATTACCTGTCCAGTACACTTCTCCTTGCCTGGCCCAGCAGGGACTAGACTGGGAGAAGTGTGGGGAGAGATACTGCCATAGCGTTTGTATGTGGGAGACCATTTTGTTTTGCTCTCAGCATCCTAGAAGAGTTCAGTCTAAAGATGTAAAGCTGGTGGCCGGTGACCCCCCCACAGGCGGGCCAGGAAAGCCTGTCCTGCCGACTCCTGGGGACCCTGTTGCTGCTTTGGCCCCACCCCCGCATTTCCCCTCACAGGTCACATGACTCTCTCATCCTGAGCAGAAGCCATTGTCTGACTTAAGTTAGAATAGCTTTTTTCTGGTGTTATTTTATGCAAGGTCGAACAGTTACAGTCACGAACTCATCCTAGAAATGGTGTTCTATACCTCATTGCTTAACATCACTACGGGCACCTTCAGAGCACTCCCTTGGGAAGCTGTGCACCGACATCAGGGCCGGGTCCACCCGTCAGAGTAGTTTTGGAGCTCTTTGGCTGAAAGGGCCATCAGAGCTCTTGTCGCCAGAATGCTGGGGCTCGAGTTAGAGCAACAAATAAACGTTAAATTTCTTGTTAAACTTGGTAAGAGTGGAAGTGAAATCAGGGATGTGTAAGTCCAAGTTTATGGGGATAATGCCGTGAAGAAAACGGCAGGGGACAGATAGATCAGAGGTTTTTCTGAGGGAAGAGGAAGCGTCACTGATGAGGAGCAGTGAGGACGGCCAGGAACGAGCAGAACTGAAGAAACACTGCCAAAGCCCATCAAGATTGTGCGTCCAAGTCAGCTGTGAGCAGCACCGCAGACCAAAGCACATTGATAGAGAAACAGGCAAATCTTAACTGAAAATCTCGACATGAGAAAGATGTGTGCGAAAACAGTCCTGAAGGAGCTCTTGCATGATGACAGTGCACCCACTCACCCAGCACTGTCTGGGAGGGCGTTTTCGCCAGGAAACTTAAAACTGCGTTGGAACACCCTCCCTGCTCACCTGATTTGCCTCCCTAAGAGAAAGGAAATGTGAAAGGGAGACATGTGGATGACATTCAGGACGTCACAGGTAAGACGATGCCAGCTCCCATGGCTGTTCCAGAAAGAGTTCTCACATTGCTTTGATGAGCGGACTAGGCACTGGCGTTGGTGCGTAGCTTCCCAAGGGGGGCACTTGGAAGGTGCCCACAGGGATATCTGGCAACGAGGTGTGGAGCCCTTTTTCTGGGATGAGCTCGCGCACCTAACTGTCAGACCTCGTTCGCCAGTCATTTCTTTCCAGTTGTCCCTGAAACGCCTGCTGCCCTATAAAAGTCAAGGACGTGTCTCCTTTTTTTTTAAGGAAGGACAGCACTGACCACATGTAGTCCTTGTTACTATCCTAGGTTTCATGGCTTCACACGCCGAGGAAAGCTTCATGCAGGAGCACCACTGGACACGGTGCTTTCCTCCCACTCACACCGGAGTTGACAGGACAGTGAGGCTCTCCATGTTTTGGAGTTGGGGGGAGCTGGGTCCACTTTGGCCCGTGCTGCCTCCTGTGTGGCCTTGGCAGGTGGGGCTTTGGGGACGCTGCCCGTGTGTCCACGGGACTCAAACTGCAGGGCACGGCCTGGGTGCTGGCTCTGTCCCTTGGGTCCTGATGAACAGGGATCAGGTTTGGCGACACACAGAGCCAGCCCAGGTCAAGGTCCGTCCTGAACAGAAGCACGGTCGCAGGGGCTGAGCGGTCTGCCCGGGCACCAGCGGGCAAGCCTTCCTGGGGAGCTTCCTACAAGAGGGAGCTGGCAGTTTCAGATCAGTGACCCATCTCTGTCTCCCTGGGTGGTGGTTCTTTTTTTTTGAAAAAGCAGGACTTACTGAGAGGACAGAAAAGCTCCCACAGTGGGTGGGGAGCTGAGGGGCTGCCCCTTCATTTCTGCTTAAAACAAGTGGCTCGAGCAGCACTGCCATGAAGCTCACACACGCTTGTCCCTCAACAGAGCGCCATGATGCCCTCTACGTGGTCGGGGCACTGGACGAAGCCATGGAGCTACGGGGCATGCGGTACCACCCGATTGACATCGAGACCTCGGTCATCAGGGCCCATAAAAGCGTGACCGAGTGGTGAGTTGGGGGGCTTATGGTGGGGGGAGTCTCACAAGGCAGAGAGGGGAGCGTGAGGGTCGACGCTTCAGGGGTGAAAGCCGTAAAAGCACTCCCCTCGCACGGAGTCAGTGTCTCATATGTTACCTGAAGAAGTAGAACTTTACTGCAGTGAAAACTGCGTTATAACATTTCCAAAAAGCAGAGTGGCTATTTGTTTTTAGTGTACAAAAGCATGTGATACAAAAAGGACTTTCCTGACTGTCGACCTGGGCATTGTCATGGTCATGTGACACAGGGGCACAGGTGAGAGAACCGGCAGCATTAGGGCCAAGCTTCTGGAGACCTCTCCAGAGGAAGACTTGCTTGGGTCAAACCCAAGCTGACAGGGACGAGGCGTACCTGTCACACCTGTGCCCTGGCGGGGGCCTGGGCCAAGACAGAGTCTGGACCCAGGTGAGGATGCCGAATTAAATGGAAGACTTTGTCTTCTGCTCTGGCCCATTTAATCTGCACAAATTGCTGAGACAAGCAGCAGGAAGGGGCAGAGGTGTGCTCACTGGTCTTCCCAACCCTTTGGAGTGGCCTGGATGCTGAAGTGCTGAAAGTTAAGTCAGCCATGCTGGTGACTTTTGCAGGCTTGCTCAGCGCCTTTATGTGGCACTTAAGGATGAAAAATGGCTCGGCACCACCAGCTTTAGAAGCGTTCACTCCCTTAATAGTAGGCAGAGTGCTTACCGAGGGCGCCAGACATAACCTCGGGTCAGAAACCTTACAAGAACACACTTTGAAATCTCCACAAACAGCTTTTCTTGGTAGGGAGGACTGGTCCTGAGATTCTTCATTCCTCTTGTTTGCTAACTGGGGTGCAGTAGAAGCTGGTATTTACAGCCGTTTGCTGAATCTGAGCAATGAGCACTTGGCAGAATATACAACCTAGAGTTTCTAAATACGTGAATGGGCCTGTGTTCCAGATCGGCTAAACCCCAGAATTCTCAAGTCGTCAGTCTCCTCCCTACCCGAGTAGAGGGCAAGCAAGACACAGCCCCAGAGCCGGGCAGAGGCTGCCTCATTCCCCATCTAAACAGCCGCAAGCATCAGTCACAGCCTTCTGTTTTTGTGTTTTTAAGAAAATAATACCAGTTGCATTTTGTCACCTCCCCTGGGCATTTTCTGTCTGGTTTCCAGTTCACGGTGAGCTTTGAGGGGCCTCGCTGGGATCCTGCGGGGAAACATCCCACTCCGTCACCTGCGGAGAGCCAAGCTGCGTTTCCGTGCTCTCGGACTGGAAACTTACACTGAAAGTGCCTGAGAGGGAGCGCAGCTGTGATACCACAAGCTCATGACGTGGGCTCACCTGGGCATACAGAGCAGGATTTCAGCGTCACAAGGAGCCATACCACAGAAATTAAGTTCCAGCATGACGTCTTCTTGGAAATAGCTCTCAGCAGGCTTGCCCCTTAGGTGTGCAGTGATCACAAAGCTAAGTCCAGAACTGTTGACCGCATTCTCCAAGGTCCCCTTTCAACTTAATATCTATATTGGATGTCCAGAACAAAATGCGCTTTTTTTTTTTTTTTTAGTCAGAATCATACTCTGTCCTGTCACCCAGGCTGGAGTCCAGTGGCACAGTCATGGCCACCACAGCCTCGAGTGCTTGGGCTCAAGCGATCTTCCCACCTCAACCGCCTAAGTAGCTGGGACAACAGGTGCTCACAACCGTGCCTGGGTAATTTTTAAAATTTTTTTGTATGCTGCCCAGGCTAGTTTCAAACTCCTGGACTCAAGCGATCCTCCCACCTCCGCCTCCCAACTGCTGGGATTACAGGCGTGAGCTGCTGTACTACACTTGGCCAGAAAGGAGATCATGAATGTTCTCATCACACACAAAAACGGAAACTATGTGAGGTGATGGGTATATTACCGCACCCAGTGGTAATCATTTCATAATATTTGTGGGCATCAAAGCATTGCATGTGCACCTTGATTTACATGCCTTTTCTTGTCAGTTAAAGCTCAGTAAAGCTGGGGGAAAGCCAGCGCACCGGCGCCCCCTTTTCTCATTGGCTTGCCCTCGCCCTTAGACCACCAGTGGGCCCCCCAAATACCTCCTGCCTCAAGCCGGGACAGAGCCCGTTGGTAGGTGCCAGGGCGCAGGTGCCGGCAGCCCC